ACTCATGTATCCAATATCTGGACAGGATAAAGGACTGGAGGAAGGGTATGATAATATGATTAAGCCCTATGAGAATGCATCCCTCCCTCTCTCTCTGTCTCTCTCTCTGTCTCTCTCTCTCTCTCCCACACACACACACACACACACACACACACTACCATGAATAAAAAATATAGTTTTTTAAAAAATGTTTTAAAGGAAGGAAATTCTGATGCATGCAACAACTAGACAAATGTCCTTGGGGACATTATGCTGAGTGAAATAAGCCACAAAAGAAGAAACACTGTATGATTCCATTATATGAAGTACCTACAGTAGTCCCCTTCATAGGAACAGAAAGTAGAATGGGGATTGCCAGGGTTGGGGAAGGGAGGAATAGGGAGTTAATGGGTTTAGTTTCAGTTCTGTAAGATGAAAAGATCTCTGTAGCTAAACGATAGTGATAGAAGCCCAACAATGAGAACATAATTTAGGTCACTGAGCTCTTCACTCAAAAGTGGTTACGATGGTAAGTTTGATGTTATTCATATTTTACCACAACTTTTTATTTCTTTGAATTAAAAAAAATAGTATCTACCATTTACTGAATACTTATGTATCAGATAGTATGCTAAAAGTTGTGTATAATTTCTTTATTTCTTCTCCCAACAGCCTTTGAGGGAGATACTATGATCCCTGTTTTACAGATGAGGAAACTAGGTTTACATACCTTAATCAAAGTCCCACCTAAAAACAGAGTAAAAATTCAAACTTAGAGTGGTGAGGCTCTGAATCCCCTTCTCTCTAGCCCATCAGGCTTTTTAGGTCAAGCGTTCAAGGGCTGGTGCAATTATGCACAACCTGTTGGGTTTCAGAATAAACTACTAACTTCAGTGCCCTCTCAACCTCTTCTTTAACTTGTCTTGAGTTGTTTACTTGTTCGTATTTCCCTACTTCACCAGCTCTCTCCAACTCAATCACATCTGCTGCCCACCTGGATCCTAGACCCTGTAGTCAAATACTAGAATGCTGCCCTCTCCTGCCCCAGATGCTTTGACTTTCTTCCATT